GAAACTTTGCAAAAACAGAAATATTTTTCAAAATTTGATATTTCGGATCATGAAAGATCAGGTACCGCATTTTGATGATCGTGAAAGGTCTGTTGCCGCTTATTCGTTATTGCAAAAAAATCCACGAAAACGATAAAATCTTTCTTTAAACAAATGATAATTCATATTTGTAATTGGTTTATCAAAAGATTGGATTTGCATGACTTATTCCGCTTCACTTTTGTTTGTGAATAGACCTATGATGGTTCAATGCAATTGGATCCGATTATTTGATAATACCACACCGACTAGTTTTCTTATAACAAAGTCCGTTTATCCGTCCTGCATTAATTTTATGTCGTTTGAAAAGTTAAGATTATCTCATCTGATTTCTATTAACTTTTATGCGCAGTCATATTTATAAGACGAAGATCCTTGTTGATTCTTGTAAAAATTGGAAAAAAGCATTGTTTAAAAAAAAACAATAAGGAAACAACTGTCATATTCCTGTCTTGGCACAGGCATTTTCCTAAAGAAATGGTGGGTTAAATCTGGTTTTCTAGCTAGCTAATACGTCCACGTGTATGACAGTTGTTTATTGTTCCGTACGGTAATATTGCCAAGAAACCCATACAGACATAATTGGTTAACGTGGCCATATCTTGGACCCAGCAGCCAAAACTGTGTAAACATACATCAGACAGAGACATACAACAAAACTTAATTTAATGTTCAAACAAACTTACATTTAAATCAAACAAAGACGCCAACAATAGTTTTTATAGTTGATAATACAGTCAGTGTAGTAAAGCATAATTACGGAGCCCCTTAAGTGTCATGTAAATATAAAAATATTTTCGTTTGCCTGAGATTTAATCTGGTGCGCACCAGTTTGAAAAATCGTGCACCCGACTTTGAAACTCGTTCGCACGACTTTTGAGCTTGTGCGCCTGACTATCAAACTTGTGTGCATGTCTTTCAAAGTGGCGCGCACAACTTTCAAAATGGTGTGTACGACTTTCAAACTCGTGCTCACGACTTTCAAAAATGGTGTGCACGACTTTAAAACTTGTGCGCATGACTTTCAAACTCGTGCACATGATTTTCAAACTGGCGCACACGACTTTAAAAATGGTGCGCACGACTTTCAAACTTGTGCTCACAACTTTCAAAAATACGTTGCGTACGACTTTCAGAATGGTGCGCATGACTTTCAAGAACGGGTGTGCACGACTTTGAAACTCGTGGGCACTAGTTTGAAAGTCGTAAGCACCAGTTTGACAGTCATTCGCACCAGTTTGAAAGTCGTGTACACCAGTTTTTAAATGTCGTCTAGAGATTAAAACTCGTGCGCACGATTTTTCAAACTAGTGCGCACCAGATCAACGAAAATATTTCTATTTACTTGGCACTTACGGAGCTCCGTAAGGGGGATCTATATATCTATATATATATATATATGTTGTGTACAAGTTGTAATTTCATACAAATTATAATTTGTACAGGGTGTGCCCTAACCTTTTAAGTTAAAAGGTCCATCGCTGTTGATTTTGAAAACGCAAAAATACCAACTATACAAATAGCTTTAATTCATAAGGACAGGCGATTTGTTTCTTCCATCTCGACTCCTTTTTCTCGAGGCTCCTTCTCTCATTTCTTCTGGGTCCATTTCCTTTCTGCGGTCATATTTCATACCTCAGAGTTAGTTAAAACAAAAAAATTATTGTTTGTTTAGCACACTAGTGTAGTGTATTAATTTAATGCATGAGGGAAACAAGTTTGTCCGCAAGTGAGACTGATTAATCAGTTTGTAGATAGGATTATCTCATGATAAATAGAACAAACAGATAATCTGATCCTATGCTCGATTTATAATACTTATAATGAAATGTTTATGACAATGTTTCTAAAGGGACATCTGTTGTATTCTATAATGAGAAACAAACATAAGTTGGCATACGTACTCAGTGTATATAATGTGCGAATCCTGAAATACCATTTTTACTGTATCCGTTATGAATTTCTAATTTAGAATGATAAATAAACAGACGACAAATTCATGATTTTTGAATAAAATAAGAAATAATACATAATGTGTACTGTTTTTATAAATTCATGATATCTAGGTATGAGATGCGGACGGGTTTTCATCGCGCCTACAGCCATCCAGGTGTAAAATTGATACACAAATAGATAAATATTAAGAATAGTTCACGAACAGAGCATGCACGAGATTGAAAAGCAGCAGTTAAGTTTCATTTGCAGAAAAATGTACCTTTTAACATAATTATTAATGTTGTATTACTTAAAACAGGTTTTGTTATTCAGCTTGTTGATATTGAATTAAATTCCACTATGCTGTTTCCGTTATGCGATTCATGTTTACTGTCGAATAATGATATGAGACTTTCATTTTCACTGTAGGGGCGATTCATTTCTATTGTACATGCGATGCATTTTCACAGAAGGAAATTAATTAGTTTTTATCATATAAAGACGACGAGGTTGGTTTTTAACGACCTTGACTACCCACGAGGGTCTTGCAGGTTTAAAGGTGTTGTTGACTGGCTTGCTTTGTTTGTATAAATGTTTGATTAAGCATTTTAATTAAGATTGAGCAAACATTTATACAAACAAAGCAAGCTAGCCAACCAAACCTTTAAATAAGCATTAGGAAAATAGCTATAATTTTTCATTGCAATTTTTTTCTCGACAAAAATATTGTTTTAATCTAAGAGGTATTATATACTTCATTTTCATTTTAAGGCGATTTTGTTTCTGGTTTTACAGTCAAAGAAGTAGTTTTACGGTCGTAGCTTATATATCACACTTTATTCAAATTAGAGTACGTTCAATGTTGACGTGGTGTATATTTGGACCATTTATAATCAAACAAAGAAGAAAATATTGATAGTTCGATATCATTATAAGACTAAAACCTTAAGTAAGCATTTGCTATGATGAAAAGGAAAAGTCCTTGTACGTTAAAAGTGACATATGTAATGGGCATATGGTTGTTTGTTTATACTAATATATACAATTCCTCGATTCTCTAGTGTTTAGAACTAGTGTGTAATAGCCACAATCGTATAAAGACCCATCGGTTCATTATAACGATGTTGAAAATCGACCAATGTTCAAACCTGACATCGTGAATAAACTCTTTTTTAAGATATTTCCATACTGCTATATAACTATACTCAAGAACGTTCAAATGTAGAACATAATCTTCCTTAAAAAATAACGCATAAAACAATTTACATAAATTTGAAAAGAACATGAACAAATCCAGACATAGTATATATATTTTATTAGATAACAAAAGCGAATTATCTCTGAGATAGAAATACAGTTTATTGACATGTATTGACAGTTGTGTGCTTTAAGAGTGTTATTTAAATATTGATTTATGTCAGCACTCGTGGTATAGTGGTATCATGCATAGACTGAAGACTCTACTGATTCTGAAGAAAATACGCGCGAGTTCGAACCCTTCATATGCTTCTCGTTTTTGAAAGGATGAAAAATAGTAAGTTAGAAATTTAAAGTTATAAAATAAGTTATCTTAAGTTAACGAAGTGGTCAGTGGATTCTTGAAAAATAATCTACTGTAAGAACAATAGACTGACGTCAGAGAAATGGGTTAATTATATTACATGAACACCATGTGACTATTTTAAATAGACAGGTCTGTGAATAACTTGTAAACATCGCGAAACAAACACTCTGTAACTTGATTAAACTACAAATACAGCATAGTTGGCTGGCTCTTACACTAAATGCGGCCGTGTATTTTGTGATTTGTCGTTGATTAAAATAAATAATGCGAATGAGAAACCCGTTGTTTTATTTTATTTGCAGACATTTACTTGAAAAACTGACCTCAGAATTTTGGCACTGTACGCGATTCATTCTCTTTGTAGTTTGTTTGCTTTCTTTAGTATCGTACGCACGTTCGTTGTACATTCTTCTACTATTCGGTGTGCAAAAGCCTATCAATATGGTAGAAATATGTATGAAACGGCGTCACAAATTTTCAAACCATACAAAGCTTTAAAAATACGTTATATTCATGGATGTTCTACTCCAGTATATTTTCGGATCCGTGATACACTTAGAGCAAACTCACAAAAAATATTTGAATAAATATATGATTTGAACGTGTATCACCTTAAGGCGATGTGACGCATTCACCCTGAGCTTGACCTTTGGCCTCAAGATTAAAATACAGGATTTCTAAGAAACTGGATTGCAATCAGGCGCTGCCGATGAGTGGGCTTCTCTAGCTCCAGTAAGTTCTGTTTCACGTCAAACAAATACACAATTCAGGTAGTTTTAATCTCCAATATGAAATGTTAGAAATGTCAAATAGTTTTAGTAGTTTCAAATGCTTGCTAACAAAAAATAAAAGATAGGTATTTCAATAGAAACAGCTAATTTTGTTCTCGATTTTTACTAACGAACGGTACAGAACTATGACGAAAACACACAACGAACGTACAGAAAACAAATCGACGAACAGTACACAACGCAAAACGTTCGGAATCAACTATACGTTGGGTATCATAATACCTGTGTATGTTCAAGTGAGCATCTACGACTAGCTTGCATTTCAAGTTGTAAATATCATCAATATAAAGTCATTAAAGGACTTTTTTCAGTTGTTGCATGTCGAATTATCATATAAAACAACAATGAAAATTTATCGCACCATAAAAAATTCCACATCAGAAATGATTGCTCTTACAGTGATAATGCATCGCATTTATAGTTAAAATGAATCGCATTCAGTAATCAATATTATGGATTCAGCTGCTTTAATTACACTTTTTTTTTTACTTTAATCCTGTTATTATACATTAAAAAGTTATATTGTAAAGAAATTGTGTTAAAACATACATCAAATCAATTATTTTGTATTTTCAAAAAGAAAACAAACGCAGTTTTTCCCCCATCATCCTTTATGCTACAATAGACATACTCGCATACGACAGTAACAATAAACTAACTGGATTCGCACTTGATGTACACTGGTAATGTGCAGTTTGAACGCATGGCAAGATCCCAGGTATAAATTTAAAACTACACAAACAATTCAACCCCCAGCGTCGAGTTTATTTACCCTCAGGATACCTTTTACAGACGTGTAATGGAAATCCTATTATATACACAGATGTGAGATTCCCTTTTTAATGTGTATATATACAACTATACACAGTTTAAAAGTCTTACACATGCGTAAACAGATGACCAAGAGAAGTTACCTTAATTCATATTAATTATCGACTACTAATATAATGATTTTTATTTCCTCGTATTGAAAGTGATAAGTGAGAGGAAATGGTGGACAACATTAACGTATAGAACGTATATATTGATTCGATGGAACGCTTCAAGATGTTGTGTGGATCCATTTATACACAGTGCTTGGTAGGATTCTGCCTGTTGGTCATATTGCCGTATTTTCATATAGGTAAGAACCCCCTAATTTTAAACGCTGTCACAACAATTATTCTTATTTTCTGTTGTAAACAAATTTAAAGGCTATATACTACTGTACACACAGCATTTTAATTATTGACTGCCAAACAATTTTCTAACATGCAAGTTTGGTTATTCAAGTAAAATGATTAAGATAATTAGCTGGAGGACAAGTTAGTATATCATAACATATTCACAATAAATCTAAATAAAAAGTATGTTAACAATAGCCAACTTGAGGCAATAAAATTGTAAAATTTAGAATACAATAGAATACAGTACAATCCAATACAATACAATACAATAGTACAGAATATTTTCATTTCCCAAATTGCATGGCCCTTAAAGGGCATAAAAATCAGTTACAATTGATTGACATAATTGATTGTTACAACAATAAACATCAGTGTACATACATATTTACTAGCATCGGTTAGAATCCGAGCCATCGACCATATAAATTATGAATGCACAATTAGATAATAAAATTACATATGCATTCGTTATTTACTACTATCAATATTCAGACCTGATCTCCTTAATTCAAAACACTCGCCAATAGCCCTTTTTTCCATAAAATATATAAATGGGAGTGACAGTGGCCTTCATTTGAGAATGTTTGAAAAGAAGAAAATAATACATTTTTGTAAATGGCTACAAATATTAATGTATTTTTGAATTATCATAAATCACAATGAATAAAAATGTGAACGGACTTAAAATTTAGGATCTTTTTTCTCGCTCTGTCATATATAATATATATTTACACAGTGTAAGGCGTTTTTATAATGTTTATTTTCGCGTTTAACGGATGCATGTTCATGTAAAACCAAGGCCAATATTTTTGACAAACATGATATAAAGAGCTTATACACTTAAACATTTGTAAACATTTAAAAGTGTTTGTTTCCCTGAAGCGTTTAGTCATTGACGTTACAAATAAAAAATATAAGCATGCTTATTATCATAAATATTTTTTTCATAATTAAAAGAAATTAAGATTTAAATAAACAACAAGCTCACTTGTTTGATACATGTTAGACAATTGTGCATTTTGAATATTCCAATATCAATATCTTTATTCTCATAACCATTGCGGAAATATAGGTACAGAGAAGAGAGACGAACGATACCAAAGGGATATGCAAACTCATAAGTCGAAAAAAAACTGACAACGCCATGGCAACCAACGAAAAACGACCTCACTAAAATCCGGGTGATCTCAGGTGCTCCAAAAGGGTAAATAGATCTTTTTCCACATGTGGCACCCTTCGTGTTGTTCATGTGAGTACAAATCCGGTGACAAGCAAGTCTAATTCGATAGGTTACATTCGTAGAAAAGAGGATGGGATTTTGGTTACGACAATGGGAACATATTCGTCGTCATGTGTGTAACAGATATTCCTTAACGGACAACCAACTGGTGATGGCGTCCGTAAATTTTTGAAGGGATGATAGCAACTTCACCACTTGGAACTCTTGATCCAAAAGTTTCTTTGCAAGGAAATCATGATAGGAAATGCCAGCTCTGGAATATCGTATCAACAAGAAGATATATACTCCAAATGCAGGCGCTGCTGGAGTGTTGCTACATAGAAGTGGAAAGTTCACAATTGGGAAGCTGGAATCATCTCATTTGTTCTCAACCGACCCTCATTGTCAATTTCTAAATGTCAGTCAAGATATAAGGCAGACTTAACTGTATCTATGTATCCCTTATTTCAAGTTCGATGGGATAGATGCGTTCAACATAGTCACCAAACTTTGAGCTATTTGGTGAGAGATAATCACCTATATATAGCAGAACGTAAAATTTAGGGATAATGCTAGATTCTTTTCATTCTTCCTAAGGTGCAAAATATGTACATAAATTGTGCAATGCGCATATTTACAATCATTTATATTGCAAAATAGTGGTTTCAATAAAAGCTACATCTTAGCAAGGAAACCGACGTGTTTGTTGAACACACCTTATATTTCATAAGCATTTGACTTCGACCTTTTTTTCAACTGGCGTATCATTTGTTTTTACTTTTATTTTATTTACACGTTTTAATCCAAGTGTAATTTCCTACTGTCGAAAGAAACTGGACATTTTTGCAGATGATTCGAATCTAATGTTCCCAAGTTGACATTTTCTATCATTTCTATCACCGTTATTCCCGCTTCCTATTGGCAGTCTGTGGTTTGTGGTTTTATATTTTCATAAAATAATGCTTCCATGCAGATTTAACTTCAAATATTTTCCAAATTCCAAGTCTTCCTTGAAAATTCTGTAATTAACTGCTTTTGGATACTTTTGCAATTGTTTACTTCAGTGATTGTTGTAAGATTTCTTGTATACAGGTTGTAATATGTATTTTGTTTGTCACAAGCTGTATTTTATTTTATGGTTTGCGACGATAAATATTATTATTATTGTTTGGATTGATCTTGTAATCGCAGCTTTAAAGGGAGTTATTAAAAATTTTGCCAGTATTTTGAGATTTAGCTATTTTCTTAAAAATATGATAGACAGCGAGAAATTGTTAACAGGAAAACTCCCAGCAAGATAAGACCTCTAAGAATTTTATCCATCTTTTGCCTTTTTGTCAATTATTAAGTATTAAGGTTTTCTGACGGTAATCCTGTTATTTATTTTGGGTTGAACGGGCGCTCGCTCGGTCGGCTCCAACTATATCTGTCCGTTAACTTATCAACCGTTCAACCAATACTTTGTTACTTTTAATATGGAGGTCCAGTTCGATATTTGTCCAGATCAGGAGTTATGGTTCTTGTTTGATTGGAAAATGTCACTTCATATAGTTTCTGTTCAATAACTTGAGAACGATTTTTCTCTATTGCCGTTCAGGAGATTAAAAAAGGTATGACCCTTAATTGATTGGGAAATGGTTGTTTCCGTGCAATAACTTAAGAACTGGTTTTCGAATGCTTTTCAAATTTTTTATATGTTTGTTACTAATGACAAAAAAGTTCGATATTGACGATTTTCACTTCAGGATTTGTGGCCCTTTATTACTTTAATGATGACACTAATGCATTAAATAAAGCCTTGTTTGCTTTCATTTTGACTGCCTCTTATCTTGAAGACTTCAATAGATAAAAAGAAACTTTAAACTGTAAACAGTAAACTGATCAGTAAACCAATATCTACAAATAAAGAAAATATAGGAAATTGTCAATAAGTTATTGCCCTTACATGATGCTTTTACCCAAAGTTTACGTTTTTTTATATACATTTAAGTATTTTCTTATAAATTGTAAGATACAGTAATCAGCTGAAATGATCAACATGACCGAAATCGCAAGTTATAATGAAATGACAATGTTTATCCATTTTGTTGCATTTTTGTATATTTTCTTGAAAACTATAAAGATAGAAAGAAAACAGCAGGAACTATCAACTAAAACAGATCTTTTAACAAAACAATTAATAAACAAATACAAATTTAATTATGACAGACAGATATGCCTGCCATGAGTCAGAAATTGATTTGTCAAAAATAAGCCGATTGTTTTCTCAGTTTGAAATTTTTAACATCTTGTCATGTCGGGGCCTTTATTGCTGTGCACGGTATAGGTTTTGCTCATTTTCTTTGTTGAAGGCCATACGAAGACTCATAGCTGCTTAATTTCACGTCAATTGCACTCCGGTGAAATATTGTCTCATTGTCAATCATATCTCCTTATTTTCGTAGTGAAGTCCCAAAAATGAATCAGTGCAAATTAACGATAAGGAAGCATATTGCTTACAAAAAAAACAGGTTCCTTCGCTGCACAGAGGCGGATTTAAGGAGGAGTGTAGAGAGTGTACGCCCCCTTTTTAGAAATACCATGATATTAGACAAAAACTACAACCACAAGAAAAAATAAGTTTGAAGTTCAATTATTTCATTCGAGTGAAAGAAGACACGGACATTTAAAATTATCTGGCGGTTGCAGGGAATTGGTTAAAATGTTATCAATAGTACCGTACTAAAAGCTCAGTATTAAGTTTGCACTAAATTTAAAGATTAAAATGTTCCCATTATATGTTTCCGTACATAAAAGGACTTTATATTATATATATATAATCATTAATAACATAAGCTTATTAAAATGTCTGAAGACTGTATTTCTAATGGGTAGCTAGACTTTGTTAAGATTATAGTTTTTTTCTGTTTACCAACAGCAACTAGTAAATTAAATATTGTTCTTCTAGTAGACACTATCCAGTCAAATATTGCTGTAAGCATGTATGCGTGTAAAGTAATTTTTAGCTAAAAGGGTATGTGAGCTATTGTCAACACTTGGCGTCCGTCGTCGTAAACTTTTATCAAAAGCTTCCCTCGGAACTTTTATACCAAGTTGAACCAAATTTGTATAATTTGTTTGTTCTTGCCAGTAATCAAACAACACGATAGCTAGGTAAAACTTTGACCAGCAAAAATGATAAGTAATACAAGAGCTGCACAAATTTTAATATGACAGAAACTGTTAGATGGCTCTTTAAGGATTTATTGCCCTGAAATTACGACTTGTGCTTCATTTTCATATTTTTTGGCAATGATATCAAAATCTATGATAGATAGATGGAAACTGTATACATCAAAAATGATCAGCAATACAAGAGTTACAAAAATGTCAATATGGTCGAACCATTGGATGACTTCTTCAAGATTTATTACCCTTAAAGAAGATGATTGTCTAATTTTTTGGTTTTTTTTTACAATCATCTCGAATACTAAGAAAGATAGGTAGAAACTATATAAAGCAAAATATTACCAGCAATACAAAAGTAAGAGGAATGTCGACTATGACCGAAAAACTATAAAAGATAGGTAGAAATTGTAGTCTGTAAAATAATCATCGTTACAAGATAACCTGTAATAAAAGGTAAACATAAATATCAAAATGGCATATTTTCCAGGTGAGCGATTCAGGCGTTTGTGAGCCTCTTCTGTTTGTTAAATTTTGTTATGGCAGTCCGCGTTCTTCAGATTTACTGATATCAATCTTGAAGCTTGGGGCATTCAATAGAAAATTGTACCTAACTTTTGTCGATGCACGTGTGTTTGGTGAAGGTTTTGAGAGTTTTCATTTGCTGCTCGCAAAAAGAAGCATCCTTCAGGATAAATATTGTATCATGTTTAACAGTCTTTAAGTTTTGTAAAATATGTTGAGGCGGATTGAGGCGACGAAAATTTAATTATTGTGTGATTTTCCATTTTCGTCAGTTGTAGTTGTTTACAGTGATATTCGCTGGACAAAGCGGCATAACTCAAATCTATATTGGTAAAAAACTGTATAAAAATCGAAAAGAAATAATAGAAAAATGAAAAATTCAATACCTTTATGATTCTAGTATTCAGAATCTGTGTTAAGATGTGTTCATATAATTGCTTACATCCACTTTATTTCAACTGTGGTGGATAGTTGTCTCATTGACAATCATACTACATGGATGATAAAATTGTAATAGTCATGAGTGTTTGATACAGATTGCTATTTATTAACACCATTTCACTTTTCCCTTTTGCAAACTTTGAAATTTTAGTTGCAATGCCTAGAAGCTTTCCATGGGTATTTCACCTCATCCTGTTAGACAAAACACCAGAATTTGGATAATATTTTACATTAAAAAAGAATATTATTACCTGGTCCCATGATTGAACTTACAGTAATTATAGTTTCTTCCGCTGATAGCACATTTACCTTACCATACATTTGCACTAATTACAGTTTTTTAAATACAAAAACTTATTTTTTGTACAATTAACTAAACATTTATATGTATTTGTCTTTAGCACCAAATTGATCGATCATGCAGTTTGTTGTTGTAGACGGTTAGGCAATACGTTGGTGATATACAGCGATTCCGGCGAAAGTATGCGCAACAAAAATTGTAACAGATGCTTCATGTTTTGCATGAACGTTATAAATTTCCACCAATTATATTGAATATTTGCGAAAATGAATTGTCTTATTTTGCTGCATTTAATGATTGAAATCTAGAATCATTTTTTGTTGTTGCGAAAACATAACATTTGGCACGAGTAAACAATAAATTGGCGCAAACATAGAACGCTTACCAAATAAAATATTAACACTGTTTTGTATTTTGGCATATGTTTCAACACTGTCAGCTTTGATAAAAAATGTATCTGTCTTATTTTTTATAAAATGTTGGTTTTTCTATTTTAGGAATTCTTTATTCAAAAATATGGGTTCCAGACAAAAAACCTGTGTCACATAATGAATGTACTTGTAGTTGTTGGGACACTATTTTCAAAGGTTTGTTGAATTAAATAAACTTTCATTTTATTATACTAACTAGATTTTATAAGTGATAAGTGGTAAACAGGAAGTATATGAGCAACCATGACCTTATTTGTGTAAGAATATACAACATTATACAAGTGTTCGATAAACAGGAAATTAATTTATAAAAATAAGAAGAAAAAGTTACAAAGGAGACAATAAAAAATCAGAAGTTCAACACAAATAGACGAAAAGACAAACAACAATAAAACGTTACACAGAAAACAGAAAAAAGATTGTGCAACACGAACCCTACAAAAACCGGAGTGAACCCGTTGTATTGCTCATGCAAGTAAGAATGGTATTCATTTATATCACAATCGAGGAAATTAAAGATGAAGTGACTTTGGTTACGACAAGTGGAACATATCCGTGACAATAGATATTCCATAACGGTCAACCAATTAACTTTGGAAATTAGTAACTATGACTAAAACCAAAGCAAATATCCAAAAAAACAACGCACCACAACGTATAAGGGGCTAGTTGGGGGGTCCTTTATTTCTTTATTCTTTAACTTTTTAGACATTTATTCTCTACTCTTTACTTATTTTGACCCTTCTTCTGTTTCTTTATATTTCAGTACCCCGTTATCTCTTTTCTTCTCTCTATTCTTTATATTTTGCTTTATTCTCCAAATTTTGCTCATTATTCTCTATTCTGTAAACCCCATCCAGACCCTCACGTATCTGTATAAAAAAAACCAAACAATAATTTCTAACAACACCTCACAATGTCGTACAGGAACATGAGATTTGTCTAAAACTAACAGTATTAGGTCCATGAGAAACCAAATAAAAACAATTCAACTTTGTGCTATGTTCTACTTTGAGAAAGTCTCGGAAATTTATGAGAACTTGTAAATTTATTACTCGACAAACAAAAGTATCGTAAAAACGTTGTCGCCTCGAGTTCGGGGGTTTGTGGGTTATATCTCCGGTCGGATCATTTATCATACTTCAATACTTACACCAAGATGTCGTTACATGAAATTGGATACCCTGCATTTATCATGCTTTTCAATAACATATGGTCTAATCGCTGAAAGAACCCCTCCTAAATTATTTAAAACTATCATTCATTGCATTGACAATAATATAGATACTCCTTTCGGGCTAACGCCGTCAAGGGGTATCTTATACTTAATCATGAATTCAGTAGTACGCCGTGCGAATATGAATGGGTTTACAATGTTATTGATGACTAATTTGTGAATTCGAGCTGACTATTCAAACTCCTTTTCCCGTTTCAAATCTCATTTCAGCTCACTTGGGGTCCGTCGTCCTTAAACATCTTCTCTGAAACTATTGGGACAATTAGAACCAAACATGGCCATAATTATCCTTGGGTATCAAGTTTAGAAATTGTGTCTGATAATGAATCCTGCCAACCAACATGGCCTACAAGGCTAAATATAGAACATGGGGGTAAAACCCAAGTTTACTCAATTACCTTGACAACCGTAATACATATAGAAAATTGACAAAAATGTTCATAATGTCAAGATCAACCTTCTGTCTATCTAGACCTATCTTGAAAACTATTATAGATAAATATCAAAACTATTAGCAAGATGATCTACAAATAACACAATATATATGACTCGACTCTTTATATGACTTGTTAGCCCTTTTTACTTTTTTAACCAGTTTGTTTTTGTGTTTGCCTATTTTCTTAAAATCATAAGAGTCGAGAGAAACTTTAAACAGCAATAATGATCAAAAACGAAACATCTTTACATTATAAGTTTGATTACTGAAATTGTCATTGGTCTCTCTCCTAACAGGAGTTTTCTCCCCGAATGGCTTTTTTTTCTTCATTTTTTGTAATTCTGACAAAACCTATAGCAGGAAGAGAGAAACTTAATGGAGTAAAACTGATCAGCGAAACAAAATCTAGAGATGGGTTATTGAAGCCGAAATATCAGTCCACATATTTTAAGAGTTATTGCCGTAAAATGCAATTTTTTACATTTTTTTTTTCTTATTGGGCTAAAACTTTAGTAGATAGAGAAAAATACAGAAAAAAATAGCAATACAATATCAACAAAAAGCATTTAGTTGTTAATTATGTATTCTATAATATTGGAGGATTTCCATTATGGAAGATGCATATTGACCCAGGTGAGCGACACTTGCTTTTTAGATCTACTCCGTGTTTCCTTAATTATAAATCAAATTGTGGAAATCATACCGAATAAGTACCATTTATGACTGATTATTTTCTGTGTAATATATTGAGAAAGTGTCGGTAATTCATAGTATCTTGTATCTTACACTTTTGTAAGAACTTTAAAGTGCGGCGTCTTAATGTATTTCTTATGCTAATTTCTTTTTTTTTAATGTCACTTTTCAAAACTAAGCTGTGGTCCACGGGGTCTCAGGCATTTCCTAGTGATTTCAATGAAAGGAGAGCACATTACGTTCTATAATAAGATTCCCAAGCTCCTGTGTGTGATCAAGACATTTCAACAGAGATAAATGACAGTTAGTATCCATGGAATGTGATTGATCTACCATGATATACTCGGAATCGATCGTGTTAGTAGTAAATATGTAAGAATACGGAGCAAATTGTCATCGTGCTGAAACAGAAGTTATAAGCCAATGACGTTTCTAAAAATAATGATAATTACAAATGGAACCTAAATGTTTACTGGTGTCAGAAAATATGGTGACCTGGATTTTTCCATTCGGTAGTAAGACCCAATATGAGGGAACGTTCATTTGCTGTGCAGGATGCGTACGCAGGCTAGTCATCCTTAGATATAATACGCCGTTTGATGACTCGTTTTTGGAGAGTACAGCACTGTCTACACGCACAAGAACCCTTGTAATTACTCTTTGGGCGTTCCATAGACGACTCGTTTTGTAGAACTTATCTATTTGACTTATTGATTATTTTGTTTTCATCGCGAATATGGATGAAATATTTGACGATGGACGTTAAGGCACTAATCTAAAATCAACCACAAATCAATTATTACACGCGACTTGCAGAATGACGTCAAGTATATACACCACGAAAAGCCGTTCTGTTTGCTCTCTATCAAAAACTATCTTTAATTTATTTTTGAAATTTAGTATACATAAGTTTTGATTCAGTAGTATATAATATAGTTGTTTAGACAAGGAACTAAAAGATGCATTTATTTTACTTTTAGGTTCATATGAAAGCCAAACACGAGTTGGATATAAACACATGTATTTCAATGCTACGAAACAAACCTTTGTTATATGGACAATAACAATGGCTGCAGTTTTGGTATTTTATGAGTTAGTAAAACACTTATTGCGGTTATATGTGGAAGGAAATCTCAGATATACAATGTTATTTCTATTGGTGTTGGATATTCATCCCCATTATTATTCTTGGTGGGGATATTTGAACTATTTCAATGATGATTTTTATACACAATTCGTTCATCAGTTGTTCTTCACGGTGACAGAACTGATATCGTCGGTGATAGTTGTGCGCATGTGCTCCAAGGAAAATTGCATAACTTCTCGCCAACTAATTGGAGTATTGTCTATCAACATAGTGCATATACTTATAGGTGGTTTAGATCAGTTCTTTAAACAGTTGTTGTTTATGGATGGTAAAACATTTCAAAGAATGAGGAATCTTGGATTTATAATACCAGACCTCTTTCATATAGTAATACCTATTGTAGCCTATAAAACGTCGCGAGGTCTTGCATGTAGCAAATTATTAACGAAGAAGGAATTTATCTGTTTAATATGCCTTACAATTGGTTTATTTTTGCTGGGCAAATCTATATTGAAATGATGGTCCAGAACTAGCCTCTAAGGACATGATATTTTTACAGATATGAAAAATGTTCATGAGTATTTTTAAAAGGATGAATTATTGATATTTATAAAAGAATAATATGACAACCGTGGTATAAAATAAAGGAAAACAGTATTAAAAAAAATGTAAAATCGTTATGAAAGTAATGCAAGAGTATTGTGTTTTTTACGGACATTTTTCTTAATTTCCATCACAGGTATAAAATTATGAGATGTGGTATGATTGTGAATATGGTAACTATTCACCAGAGACTAAAGGACAATGAATAGTAAACAACTATAGGTCAACGTATAGTCTTCAACAATGAGCCAAACTAATACCTTATACTTGTAGTAAGCTATAAAGGGTCCTGGGATAACAAAATGTGAAAAAATTCAAAGAGAAAACCAAAGGCCTGCTTTAAACTAATAACATTCAACTAAAAAACAACTGTTGAAGAGAGCAACCAACGACAACTTCTCGACTACAGGTTCCTGAGAGTTCATCTCACATCGTCATTTCCTGTGACAGTGGTTAAACGGTACAACATAAAAACAAACTATAAAGCGGTTCACAAGGGCTTGACGCGTTGCTTCTCATGCAAAATATCGAACATTTGTGCACGTATACGGACTGTACTATTATCGTCGCTTCTCATGCAAAATATCGAACATTTGTGCATGTATACGGACTGTACTATTATCGTCGCTTCTCGTGCAACATATCGAAAATTTGTGTATGTATACAGACTGTACTATTATCGTCGCTTCTCGTGCAACATATCGAAAATTTGTGTATGTATACGGACTGTACTTTTATCGTCGCTTACCGTGCAACATATCGAAAATTTGTGCATGTATACGGACTGTACTTTTATCGTCGCTTCTCGTGCAACATATCGAACATTTGTGCATGTATACGGACTGTACTTTTATCGTCGCTTCTCGTGCAACATATTGAAATTTTGTGTATGTATACAGACTGTACTATTATCGTTGCTTCTCGTGCAACATATCGAACATTTGTGTTTGTATACGGACTGCAATATTATCGACGCTTCTTGTGCAACATATCGAACATTTGTGTATGTATACGGACTATACTATTAACGTCTCTTTTTGTGCAACATATCGAAAATTTGTGTATGTATACGGACTGTATCAAGAAAGCTCAAAACCATAAGAAAAAAAATATTATATTCTACATTACATACACCGTTAAAAAAAGATCGTTCGCAAATATGCAGATTTGCAAACGATGTTTTTAACAGTGTATGTAATGAGGAAAAGTTTTTGTTTATGTTTCATGACGACAGAGTTTGCTATTTCACAGCCAAAATCTGCCATGAAGTACTTTTTAAGAGAAAGTGTATTTTATACTCGTAATAACTGTATATTATGTTTTGTCTTTTTTTATCTTCTGATTAAGATTACAAAATAATTGCTTTTAATATAATGGTGTTTTGTGTTAATAGTTATCAAAGGTACCAGGCTTATAATTTGATTCGCCAGACGCGCGTTTCGTCTACATAAGACTCATCAGTGACGCTCAGATCAAAATAGTTAGAAAGCCAAACAAATACAAAGTTGAAGAGCATTGAGGATTCAAAATTCCAAAAAAGTTGTGCCAAATACGGCTAAGATAATCTATGCCTGGGATAAAAAAATCCTTAGTATTTTGTGAATAATTCATACTTTTGCAAACAGTAAATTTGTAAAAATGACCATATAATTGATATTCATATATATACACCGAAGTGCTGACTACTGGGTTGGTGATACCCTCGCTAAGATATATTGATATATGTTATATATGAAATATAAATGTATTTTTAATATGTGTTTTACAGTCTCTCATAACTCTTTTATAAATTGATCTGTTGTTATTATATTGTATTTTATATTAAATGTTTTAAAGAGGTGAGACTCTAATAAAGTATTTGTTGTTGTTGTTGTTGTTATATTAAAAGGTCCTTTGAAGTACAGCCAATAAAAATTGTTTTTGTCCGGATTTGTGTATACAGATACCGTGGAGGTCCCAAGAGGATAATAGTCAACCAGGGATGTTGTCGATCCCGATCCAGGCTAATAGGCGGATAACGACATATGGCTAATATCCAACAACGACTGATGTCGATCAAGATAAATAGTGGATATTGTCCTAAATAGTCGACCCAGGCTTATAGCTGGATAATATCAGAAATGGCTAAAAGTCAACAAAGGGTCGTGTCGATCCTTGCTGATAGTCAATCAGTGGTGGTACCGACACTGGATGATAGGTGGATAATGTCCCAAATGATCAATAGTCAACCAGGGGTGGTGTCGATCCAGGCTATTAGGTGGATGATGTCAAAAATGGTAAAAAGACAACAAGGAGTGTTGTCGATCCAGGCTAAAAGGTAGATTATTCCTCAAATGGGTAATAGTCAACAATGTGTGGTGTTGATCAAGATTAATAGGTGGATTGTCCTAAATGGTTAAAATTCAACAAAGGGTGGTGTCGATCCAATATAAAAGTCCACCAGGGTAGGTATCGACCATGTATAATAGGTGGATTATGTCCCAAAATGGCAAATAGTCAACAAGGGGTGGTTTGAATCTAGGCTATTAGGCGGATACTGTCCCAAATTGTTAATAGACAGCAATGGTATCGACCAAGGCTTCTTGATGGATATATAACGTCCCAAATGGGTAATATTTAACCAGGGGTGGTGTCGATCAAGGCTAATAGCTGGATAATGTCCCAAATGTCAACAAAGAGTGGTTTCGATCCAGGGTAAAAGTCAATCAGGGATGGTGTCGATCCTGGCATATACATGTGGATAATGTCACAAACTGCCAATAATCAACCAATGGTGTTGTAATGGGTGGATAATGTCCAGCATGGTTAATAGTCAATCAGGGGTTGTATTGAATCTGGTTAATGTGTAAATAATATTCACCTGCAGAGTTATCTATTATGTGGTGGAAAATGGAAATCCAAAATTCGTTTTTGTTGTGTTCGAAGCGACATTTTTTCTGAATTCATGGAAGAAAATATCTCATAATTGCTATCACTGCATATCACTCAATCATAGACTATTTCGTAAATTCTTAAATTACTTTCTGTGAAAAATAAAAATGTTTGTGTACGAAGTAAATACATTTGCTATCAATACATCCGTCAATATATCTTCTTGTAATATAGCAACTGACAGTCGCAATTAAATATTTTGCGATATAAAAACAACCCAAAATATTGCTTTAGAATGGATGGTAAGGCTTAGTAAATACTGATACATATAGGCCAAAAGGATATATTTATCTGACTTTATGTATTTAGTAGCTAACAAATGACTCCATTTTTCAAATTGACTTCAAATCCAGAGATGTTAAAACACGTAGTAGTTTCGAAACGTCCTTGACCTACAGGGTTTATTTCTGGTACATATGATTGTTTGATGTTTTTTATGTACCGTTTATCCAATGCGGTACTGACATATTATCCCTTCTTAATGCTACAATTTTCGAAAAGATTTTCCCCCTCATACCGGTATATGGTAGAGATTTTGCTTTGTATATACTCTATCTTTAATTACAAAAACAATTAAATAAACAACAATATTTTGATACAAAAATACGAAGTCAGAATAATATACATAGTACAATATCATATATGATTGATGATTGGTTTCATCCGTAAAGATAGAACTAACAGCGACAAATTATAACAAATGTCTAGCCTATGAACTCCAGTATAGTGTTTCTGAAAGATTTATTTATACATGTTACTAAACAGTTCAAAAGGAGCTACTGTCTCACTATGACTTTGACTGGTGTACTCCTTTTTCGATAGATATATTTGCATTATATTCCTGACTGAAATGCTCCTTTTGTATATTATATTGGACTATCTTCGTGACTGCATTGAAACTCTTATATCCTTGTACATACAACTCTCTGGTCGGATCTGAAAATAAAAATAAAACCAACAATATATTCTGATGCATGATTATGTTAATTTAAGAAACATAAACCCAACAAAACATAGCATTAAATCCTAGACACTATAGCTTAAACAATAAGTGGAATTATGATAAAAATTAAATATTTCCTTGCATAGATGTACCCTTGTCATACAAAATAAAATAATGTATGTGTACGATTGCTTTCCCGTTTTAGACGGTAATCTTTTTCTTATGAACTAGCGACAGTTATACTGTCACTGGTTTGTGTCAAAAGTTCTGTGGTCAGGCCTTTTACTGTACAGGAACAATCGGCTTATAACCTCTTTAGAGGTTGCATGTATTTATACTATAAATAATTTATATGTCTTAGCCATTCCGTCACATCGGTACCGTCAGAGTAAATATTTTCGTATGCAAGACTGTTAGTTACAAAGTTGCAAAAGCGACTGTCTCCAATAAAAGTTGACAAGAAAATGTTTCCAAATAAAATAAATTCTTTGCACCCTCTGGTAACCCTCAGTGAAAAGTTAAACTTCTAATCCTTACGCCTTTGTAAACATTAAATGTTTCTTCTTAACGATTACCAAATACTATTGTTTGATATGGTTTTTCCTTGTTATAATTTTTAGATAGGTGTTCAATAAATTATATTGATTATGTTATGGTTTTTTACTTAATTAGTACTTGTAGGTAATGAGCTATTAAATTTTGGTGTGTAATTCCTTGTCCCAGATACTTTATGTAGATGATTTTTCGTCCGTTGAACAACAAACCACAGAATGTAAACAACGTATTTTTGTATTTCATTGTTGTAGATATATTCCCGAGCGAGTACTCGAGTATCGCTCAATAAAAACAACGAGTACTCGATTAGTAATTGTTCACCGAGTTGACATCTCTAATTTATAGATATAAGTACATGTGAAATATACATCGATGAGACAGTAACCAAATTGACATAAAAACTAAAAGCCTCCTCAGATCAACGCATAGTCTTCAACAATAGACAAGTGTCTATATAATAGGCCAAAGTATAAACCATCCAGAGTCTATAGAAAGCTGCGTTTAAACAGTAATGATCTACCATCACCAGAAATTTTCTAGAAGGACAAAATACAGTACTATTCTTTAATACTAAATTAGGAGACCTTTTTGTGTGTTGCTTCTCCGTCTTCCTGATTAAATCAATCAATATGGTTGTCTACTCTTAAGGTAGTATGCAAACTGTAGTTTGTTATCCTCTCTAATGATTATTCGTTTTAGGTTAGTCGGGAAGCCAAATGATTCCGGATGTCCTTTCCATCATTACCATCGGTTTTGGAATTTATGTCTACTTCTAATGTTATTGATGTTTTCTTCCTTTGCATCTACCCTGATTACAAATGTTAGACTGGTGAGAAAGTTCAATTTCTATGACATAGTATATCAAAGGTCTTTGATAAACACTAACGATGGTTGCTTGAGAATATTTTATATACTGGCATTTTCATTTAAACAGAAATTAAGAAAATATGGAGAACGACTGCTGTAGTCACAAATGTCTATTTAATGTTCTCGCGGGTTACTTCTAGTAGACATTTGATATCTCTTGAGACTTATGTAATAAATGAAAATAAAGTGCGCAAAAGTTTATTAAAATAGTCAAAATGAGAAAAAAAATATAAATTGAAGGGTTTACTGAAATTACAGATGCCTGGACAAGCGATATAAGTTATACTTTCCTAAGTATCGGACCTATCAGACATGCATCATCTGTTGCTAACATATGTTAGAGTTTTTTTCTGGTAAAAGGGAGGTAACCCAATTGAATCATGTACCACCGCTTATTACGAATGCACTATACGTCCGATACTTACTTTAAGTATAAATCATGTATAAGTTATGTCGCTTCTCCGGACATCTCTAAAAGAAAAATTACAAAAGCGACATTACAATATACATTATACATACACATTGACATAAACCTAAGCCGTATTTGGCAGGTCTGTAATTGTTAACTTTTTATACATTGTGACACTGGATAGAGAGTTGTCTCATTGGCACTCGTACCACATCTTCTTATTTATCTTTACGTAAGCGGAAATAATTTACCCCAACGGAATATCAAAGTAGTTTTTAGTTTTTTTGAATTATAATGTAAATGTAGCGTATTCTGAAATATGTTATAGTTATATCACAGTAAAGGGCAATTATTTGCATTAAAGTGTATAAGAGGAAAAGGAATGGCGGCAATATATTCGACTGTCGAGAAGTCATTTTATCACCGTCTTACTCTTCTTTCTTTTTGTTATAAACAAGTAATTTTGATATGACAATTTTGCTTCAAATAAATATCTAGCTGTAACACTATCATCTTTCATTTGTGCCAGTAAATTTTAAAATTCTATTCGAGATAATAACCTCTGCTTCTGTTTTTTTTTTTTAAATTTAGAATTGAGTTCGTTATCACAATTTTTTGTAATTCGTGTTAACAGATTAAAATCGTATTAACGAATTGTATAAATCGTGATAACGAATTGTATAAATCGTGATATCAAATTGTATGAATCGTGATAACGAATTGTATTAATCGTGATAATGAATTGTATGAATCGTGATAAAAATTAGTTATCACAAATTTTACAATTTTTATAACGATCATAAACCCTTATCACGAATTACAAAAATCTGAGATAACGAATTTTATCAGTAATCATGAATTACCAAACAAAACTGTGATAACAGGAATATATGTAAGAGAATGATAATCCCTTTCTTCATGATTAACTACGAGCGTTAGCGAGTACTTATCATGAAGTAAGGGATTATCATTCTCTTACAAACTTAGAATATTGTAAAGTGCTCAAGGCTCAAATGATCTCTTGATTGGTTTTATTCAAGAATTAGTTTCATTGTCAGTGTAAATGAAATGTTTATAATTGACGCATGACTTCATTTTTCAGCATTTCATTTATTGGTTAGTTTTAGTGGTGTAAGGACTTTCTTATAATTTGGGAAATACTT